TATATATATATATATATATATATATATATATATATAACACGAGCAGCGATTCGAGTACCGACTTTCGTTTCATTAATTCATTGAACACGAAACCTAACAAAAGAGAATGGACATCCCTGCCGGGAACCACTCTTTGTAGGTGGAGTTTTACAGGGACACACCCATGTACTTTAACAAGCAAGGAAGGATCGTCTTGCGTTCGAGCAAGAAGCACTTGCAGATCGAAAGAATCGATCGAGTCCCTGAAGCCGAGTGATTTCGGATCGTTTGTATATTTGGCACTGCTGTAATACCCGGTGGAGTGTGAAGTACTCACTGCAACGTTCGCTCAGTCGAAATCCCACTTGATGTCCACGGTTTCGCGTACCTCCTCAAGAAGGTGCCAGGAGTCTCGCACAAATAAGAGTGAAATAGACACCTCTATGGTTAGTAAATTCGCCACGAGTGCCTTTTTTGACGACGGACACTATTATTGACCCACCATAGTTGTCTGTGACAGTCTTTCTTCCAGATAGATGTAACTAAGTTACGCAATATGGACTGTATCCTGGCAGATCCCACAAAAGAGTTTTCTCTCAAGTCGTGCCACGCAGCGGTCTGTGAACGGAAGGAATTCCAGTCAAGCCACAATACAGTCGCAAGAGCCAAGCTGTCGATAAAAAAGGTGAAAAAGAACTGAACAGAAAGCATAGGCTGTTGCATGGCCTGCTATGTGAGTCATCAATTATGAGGCAAAATACCGATGACTGCTCACCTGGCCAGTCTGAAATCGTTGCACGATGAATTGTCTCTCTTGCTTCCGACTTGCAAACATCCGAAAGCAAGAGCCGATTGAAAATGCTTGACTTCCCCACGTTCGTACTTCCAAGAATGTAGATTGGAGCTGGCATGATAGAGAAAATCGTGGTGAATTGTGTGGGCACAAAGCGAATCAGTAGAGAACGAAGACAAAAGATGACCGTTTTTTCCAAAATGTTGGCGCCGTAGTATGAGAGATGTATTCTATGGGGGCCCAAAACATGGTCCCATTGAATAGAGTACACAGGAACTTGTATCATTCGCTGCATACTATGGGGCACACAAGAAGTCGGAAATGCCATACACACAACCGAGGTTGACAAGTGTTTTATCGTCGACGTCAGAACGAGTGAGCAGTGCAAATAGGCCAAATAAAAAAAGTGCCGGAATCTCTGAACACAGAGATTCTTTTGTTTAGTGGATAGTTTGCAGGTACCCAGTGAAACTTACCAGAACTAACAAAGTGTCCATATCACTCTCGTTTTATCAGTCCCTCTACCCTAGCATGATTATTCGGGTGACTCCACAGCAAGTGCACTGGAATCGAGTTTCGAGAGCTCACCGTGTCAGAATTTAAACCACAGTCGTCTGGCTTCGAAGATGACTATCTTGCCACCAACACGACAGAACCTGCTGAACGCATTTATTATTAAATATAAACAAACGAAACAAGCTCACGCCTTAGCGACATCGCCAAAGTGGGCCCAGTTCGTCCATCATTGGGAAATTCATGGAAGCGGGGTTGTATGTTTCTACGGTGATTTGAAAATGTACCTGAACGTTTACTTAACTTGACTGTTTCGTAGACAACTTTCTGTACATGTGTCATGTCAGACAGTCAATAGTTTTAAATTACGGGCTTTAAAACATACCATAGTGATATATCATACGCTCCGATTGATGGTTTCAAACCAGATTACTGTGCCCTTTCTCGTCGTGCTCCCTGACTACACTGAACAACCTAACGCTGGTTCACAGCCAGACACCAAACAGGTATGGTATAAACCGAAATGTGTTACGGAATGTGAACATCGTATTACGCTAACTCGTTTGTAAGCGTTCGAACTGCTGTTGAAAATGGCCTATGAAAACGGAGTGCACTAATAAGCAAATATCATATACGGCAAATCGATGGCCGCAGATATATAATCGAACGGAAAGACAATCGGATGGCACAAAACATTCAAAGAGGCGCACAAGCTCTATCAGTTCAACTCAGCGGTGCAGCTAATCAAGGGGCATAGATACCCAGGCTCAGCTCTTAGCATTGTTCCGAGCATCGATGAATCTGGTTTTCACGGCAGTCAATGCAGGTGTAAACAGTCTGCTTCATCCCATGTTTACCAAATTTCTTGCTGTGATGAACCGAAGTGGAACAGTTCAGGCAGGCGACACGACGCGAAATCTAGTAATAACTGGGGTTCGAAACCTTCGCCAGATCATATGATGGGCATTCTTCGCTACTGCTCAAACCCTGAGCTCAAGATTTCAGACACGACAGCCTACACTTATGTGGACGTCGAGTTACAGCGTCTTCAGGGGTACTGGCAAGATTATGCAGATCCCATCCCGGGAAGTGGGTTGCACTGACAACTCAGAGATTTTATACAGTACTACTTGTAGAAAGGCCCCATACACTCTCACATGCCTGTAGGCTCGATATCACACATAATATCTCGTAGCATTGCCTGTTGAACAAGCGTTCCAACAAACCTACCAATGGGTGGGTAGAGTCAACTGTACCCGGTGTGGACTCACCAGAATAATTACGCCAGAACAGGAACACGGCCGTTCAAACGAGAGTGGTGTGGCTATGAACAAACATACCTATCCCGCAAAACCCCAAAATCTATAAAAATACCGGGATTGCTAGATCGCCCATCTTTGATCTTCACTTTGTTTGAAACACCACCAAGAGAAGGTAGTAAAGAGGACTTCCTCAGCAGAGACGAGGTAAATAGCTGGTAGTTTCGGAATAGGAACCAATGAAGCTAGACTGATTTCCACGCACAAACTTGTGGTCACACCGAAACACATCATCCGAGATGACCAAGCAGTGTTGGGAAACTCAAGCAAATCGCGCGACCAAGTTTCATGAATATCTCATTATAAATTACCAAACATCCCTAGTTTTCTGCCCTAGTTTGGCCGCGAACTGAGCAAAAATTAGCGTTCTCTGAGAGGTGATAAACTTGCAGCACTTGTAAATTGCTATGCGTAGTATTATGATATTATGTAGTGGTTAATGGCCCTATGGAGTCTCTAGTGAACAGAACTAAATTACTAATGTAAACCAGATACAGAGTCACAAGGAGAAAATCCAAGTAAATCTCGACTCACAGTTCAAAATAGGAGATTCCGTAGTTCCGTATTCCGTTGAACCACCACACCAAGAAAAGTTCTATCTTCCTGGTATTCCAAATCTCCAGTGATCGCAATAGTAATCCACAAGTGTGAATATATTAGTCCAGTGTTTGTAGCTAAAATGTTTGTTCACGTTTAGAGTTAATAGCAGCCAATTATAGCCAACCGGAAGTCACAACAACAGTCACTCAGCAAAAGTCTCAAAGTCACGTTGGACCCAAGAAGCGGGCGGTTGCGGTTGTGCGGAAGTGATCCGTACCAAGTAGCCGTTTGAGGTCGTGAAAAAGTGTTGATGTGAATTGTGGACCTCGGTCAGTGGTTAGGGTGGCGATGCAGTTATCGACAAAGGTTCTAGCAACGCTTTCGGCAGATGTGTCGTTGATCGGAATGGCCATGGGCCAGCGTGTGAAATGGTCGACACAAGTGAGTATATGTGTGAAACCTCTGGATGGGGGCAACGGTCCAACCAGGTCGATGTGGACATTTCGAAAGCGTGAATCAGGAAGCTGAAAAACGCCAGTTGGAGAAATGGCATGTCGGTGAATCTTGCTCTTCTGACAGTCGAGAAATTGCTTGGCCCAAGCGCAAATCTCCTTTTGCATATTTTGCCAAACGTATCTTTGTGACACGAGTTTGGCAGTCGCTCGTATGCTCGGATGAGAAAGTGTGTGAAATTGGTCAAATACGGAACGTCTGTACTTTTCAGGAACAAAAGCTTTGGGCGTCCTGTGGATGTCACAAATGATGAGACTGTCAGAGTTGAGAAGCGGTAGTTTGACAAATTTGAGGGATGAAAGGGAATTCAGGTTCCAATTGCTGAGCGGAGGCAATGGCTTGTAGGTCGATGGGAGTCGTTGCTATGTGGTTTACCTCAATGTGGGAGAGAGCGTCTGCAACGACGTTTTCCGAACCTTCAATGTAACGTATGTCAGTTGTAAACTGGGCAATGAAATCCAAATGTCGGTTCTCTCTCGCTGAGTGTTTGTCTTGAGATGTTCTCAAGGCAAAAACGAGAGGTTTGTGGTCCGTATAGATAGTGAATTCTCTTCCTTCGAGTATGTACCGAAAATGCTTGACAGCTAAGTAGATCGCTAGGAGCTCTCTACCAAAGTTGCTGTAACAGGTTTGTGCAGGTTGCAGTTTGCGAGAAAAGAAACAGAGTGTTTGAGTGCTGTCATCGACTACCTGCTGAAGGACCGCACCAACAGCGGTCTGTGATGCGTCCGTTTTTAGTATGAGTCGGCAATCAGGACGGGTTCAAATGACCCAGGGTGGTGACTTCCGAAAGAGCGGTTTTAATGGCGTTGAAAGCAGTGGTAGCTTGGTCATTGAATTGTAACCGTTTGTTGTTTGCTTTGAGCAGGTCGGTTAGCGGTGCGAGGATCTCTGAG